CTATTCACAGCATTCCAGAACAATGGATATCCGAGGAATTTTATCAAGAGAAGCTTGAAGAAGAAAAGATTTCAACAACGGCAACAGCAAGAACAAACCACCAGACGGGTAGTCCTGCCTTACATCAAGAACATATCAGAACTTGCAAACAGATTATTGGCTCGGAAAGGAGTCTTCGTGGCCCACAAACCGAATACCACCCTAAGGGAAATAATCTTTAGACCGAAGGACAATCAAGACAAAACCAAGAAGAACAATATGATATACCAATTCAACTGCAACAACTGCAAGAAATTCTACCTCGGGAAAACTGGGAGGAGACTATGTACACGAATAAAGGAACACAACGCGGCCATCAGGAGACATGACCCCCTGTCCTTGATATCCATACACGAGGACCAAAAAGGCCACAGATTCAATCTAGAAAACGCAAAAATTTTGGCATACAGAGACAGGAGGCACGGAAGAGAATTTCTGGAAGTATAATACTCCACAGCAGATTCGATCAACCGGCGCATCGAAATGGATCCAATTTACGCACCCCTACGTACAAAATACCAACACCTCAACCGGAACACTCAAGGAGGACCGAATATTGGATTTACGAACAAAGAAACAAGGAACTCTTTGGAGTCAAATCAATAAAGGTCACAAGCCAGGACTTGAAGGGACAAAGGTAACCGCAGCATCGACCAGATTACGACGGCAGGGGGATGCCACGCTCAAAGGTCACGTGGGCATCGGCGAATGGGGACACAGGACAGCGAAGCAACCAATGGAACCACCCGACCGTACAACTAATCGTGATCAAAGGTTATCCCCTGCTAGCAGCACGTATAGTAACACACGCGTAACACCACTCAACGCACAACCACCAACCCACTGCTACGCACTACTGCGCTCCCCAGTAACGCACTGATGATGTCACCTCGATTGGTGATGAAACGTTTGCAATCAAATTACCCAGCTCAGTGAACAAGCCAACGACCATCTTATATATCGTTTATTTACTTTTAATGATGGTTGCCTAAATGACGAGTGGAATTGTCGCGCTATAAGATGACATACTAATTTAGTCGAAACACCGTACACATTCTGTGATGGGGTTCTGTTGAATGCGACAAGTGTCACCGATGCCGAAAGTGCGAATTTCAAACCAGATGTCCATAAACAACCTGAGTATTTAGATCAACAGAACAGACAACCAGTGAAAGGAAGAAGGCCTTCGCTGCGGAGTTATTTATTGAAAAACACCAACTAAACAGTTACAGACTATTGAACAGGGAAGCAAAACTCTCATATGCATCTTGTTTGTAAAAACTGTGTATCCGCCTTCTTCTCGAACTCGTCTTCCTAAACTTTCCTGGATGCCCGTTGACCATCACTAAAACGTAAACGAATGCTACAAAGCGATTCCACCAATTCCGTAATAAATCTCACTTTTCAATAGGCGCGAAGCGGACTTATGAGAAAAACACATACTACTCGCGTGCTTCATCAGTAATGCCCATCGTCACCCTAGCATTGTAAATTGTAAAGGGGAGTAATGGTGAATAGGTGACTGTATGGTAACGGAATCGTAGAAGAATAGCCATTGAAATTTCACTCGAAAAAATCATTGGGTGGCTGAAAAAAGTTGGTTCAGTGATACTTTCACTGAATTGTAGCAATTTCTCTATTGACTCACAAAAACGCCACCCTACTTGTGAAAGGCAGAAGGCCTTCGCTGCGGAGTTGTTTATTAGAAAACATCAACTGGACAGTTACAGGCAATTGGACCGGGAAGCAAAACTCTCATGTGCATCTTGTTTACGAAAACTGAATATCCATCTCCTTAAACGCGTCTTCCTTAACTTTCCTGGATATTCATTGACTGTTGCTCAAATCCAAGCAAATGCTACAGAGCGACTCCACAAATTCCGTAATAGATCCCACTTTTGAAGAGATGCAAAGCGGATTTACCAGAAAACATACCACTCGCGTGCTCTCCCATAAGTAGTATCACAGTTGCACCACTTGACTGTGAATATCCACGAATGCTTTGACCTCCAGCGAGAATCAACCACTATCGATTAAAGTCGTGTTACTCTGGTTTATCTTTGAAGTGGATAACTTTTCAAAAGACACCTACTCACCTACAAACAAGTATCATGTAACGTCCCTGCGGCGCAAAACATACAAAACGGTAGAATATGAAATTCGCGCATTGGGATTCTATGTATTGATGCACTAGTTAGGTGTGAATTCAGCACATTTCCTTCCCATACTTTGAGTTTCATCCAATGAACACAATTTTTTCCTCATCTGTATAGCCCTTTTCTCACATGAAACCAGTTCTGATTGGTAAAGTGTGAGTTCTTCCTACAGGCACCACAAACACGTTGTACACCACTCCTTTCCCCTCAAAGACCGGCCAACGGGTGGCCCAACTTGCGAGTTGGTCTCTCTTCAGAGGGGAGTTACTCTGAACCCACGTCTCACAGGCCAAACAAAGCGGTTTTAACTGTCCGTCTTACTACAGCCAAATGGATAAAAGTCTTGATGATACCGCATCACGCGACCTCTTTCATTGCTCATCAACTATTGGACATAGTCGTGTAGATTAAACACGAAGCTAGACAGACGTCAAGTCCACGGTGAACTTATTTCGCATGTAAATCGGCTTTCTAAATGAGAGTTCCAATGGCTACTTTTGAAATATTGGTTCGCCAGGCAGGAACTCTGTCAAAAGGGATCATGTGAGGTCCTGCCGAAATGAAGATGGAACTTTAGAACAGGGGATGTGAGAAGGGTCTGTCGCACACATTCCCGCTTTGAATATGAGAGGTAATCAAGAGTAGTCCACGTTGCGTTCCGACTGTAAAATTCACAGGAATTTGTCAGCAGTAGGTCCATGAGGATTTTGGCTGAACAGCTCAATACCGGGTGGCCTTCTCCTAAATGGGGACTTTTCTCTCATACAAGTTTACCGACTCGGTAGCCAAAATGACTACTATTCCTCTCATTTGAGCAAATTAGTTCAGTTATAAAAGGCGCCTTTAGGCGAGGATCCGGCAGATAAATCGTGCTATGGAGACGTGTTCCGAACACACAAAGTCACGTTTGAGCGATGCTTTGATTTTGTGGTACAAAAGTGAACCGAAACATGTCT